TAAAGATATGGTTCAACGCCTTTAGGTTGTCCGATAATCGGGCTGGACCTAAAGGCGAGATTTTCGAAAAAGAGTTCTAGAGTCGCCACCAATGTTTTATCCAAAAACATTGGAAAAGGAAGAAAAATAAGGTTTTGGTTTAGAAAAATCAACTTTGGCCATTATAACTAGAGTTGGGTAAGGGAGTTAGTTACGTGTAGGGAAGGTATTAGCTTCCCTACGACGCCCCTTTTGGGTTCCCTATGAAGGACCGTTTATTTTATAAATAAAGAACTCTAAAACTACGCTTTTACCCTTATTTATTCATTTGTGGAATTTAAATTGTTGACTACATGACCCTAACAACTAATGCACGAGATAGATGTAATAAGAAAGTGGTAAAAGAAGATAGGAAATGTAGGAACCTTCGAAGCAAACTTTGTATTAATGTTCTTGGAAAAGAAAGGTGCTTTTTGGCAACTTCCACGCTCTATAGTGATGATCGCTCTTTCTCGCAACACTACAGGACACTTATTAAGAACACTAAGAAACTCCGAAAATGCTTCTGAGGGGTCCTAGGAGAATAATTTGAAAGAAGTGTAGAAGGGAAAGTTGCTCCGTGTTGTGAAAAGGGTGAGGACATCCCCCTTTTATAGAAATTCGCGTTTGTCGGTCGGGACCGTCGTCTCGCCCGACAAGGTCGGGACCACCATCTCGCCAAACGAGACGGCGGTCTCGCCAAATGAGACAGATGGTCTCGCCATTGACAAGAGGCGAGACGGAGGTCTCACCAAACGAGACGGCGGTCTCGCCTTAGCCAACAACGGCAGCCTCATCAAACGAGATGGCGGTCTCGGCCCTTTAGGTGAAATTTCTTATTTTTCGCGTACAAAAACCTTCATATTCTAATATGGGGCCTATTGATCAATCATAGGGACCTTTTAGGTCTTGCCCATCTTCGAACGGATGTCTTCTCGCTCTTTATTTTGAGGCCGGGCAAGATTTGGGATCTACAAGCATCACCCCAAAAATGTTGAGGAACCTCTCCATGAATTAAAAGAGTGCGAGTTATTTTAATAAGATGTCCGTGTTTACGTTCAACAACACCATTTTGTTGAGTGTATAAGCACAAGAAGTTTGATGCAAAATATCGTGAGCTTATACCCTAAGAATTTAAAACATTTGATTGAGCTAATCCTTTAAGAAGCAGAGGCGTTAGGAGTGGGGTTCCTAGACGTTTTTCCCCCCCTTAGGGGTTGGCTCTTAGAGCAACTTGGAACGGTTCTTACCATGCTTTTCCTTACTCTTGCCTTTCCAAGAAGAACTATAATAATCATTTTTTAATAGCTCCTCCTTGACCCATCCTTTCTTTTTAATTGAGCTTTAATTTTTAAGGCAAGGTGTAAAACATTTTATGTGGAGGAGTATTCATACAATTCTACTAAGTATTGGATGTATCTTCTCAAACCACTAACAAACCTAGCTACCTTTGTCTCATTTGTTTCATCATGCAATCTGCTCCTAAGAAGTAAAGATTCTAGCATTTTAAAATAATCATTTACACATAAACTTCCTTGTTAAAGTAATTTGAGCTTCAAAAGGAGTTCCCTTGTATAGTATGAAGGAACAAATATGTCATGCATTAAAAGTTTAATGTCCCTCCAAGAAGTTGCGTGTGGCCCCTGGTAATTATCTCGTAAAAACTTTATGCCACCAAATCATGGCATATCCTTCTAATTCTACTATTACCAAATCTACTTGTTCTTGATCCCTCCACTGGATTTACTTTAAAGATCTAATCTATCTTGGCTTCCCAAACCAAGTAAACTTTCATATCATTATCTTCATGGAACTTGGGGATCTTGATATTGTGCTTCTTCCTTCATCTTCTTGGGAACTTGTTGGTGAGAATGATCTTCTTCTTTCTCTCTCGGTCCGCTCCATCTCCAATCTTTGGATGGTCTCCTTTAGGTTCTTTTTACTCTCCTTCCATGAGATTTCCATTTCCCTAAGGAGTTCCAGCTTGTTCGTTCATGGGATTCTCCCATCTTTCTTGCCTTCTCGGATGAGGTGTTTGAAATTTTTCTCCTAAAAACACAAGCCTAAAAATAAAAACAACTCAAAGAGAAAAGTTATATAAATAAATAATGAACTCTCTAAGTATTTAGTTTCTCACATAAAATTTTGAAGATATGGTCACTCAAACCATCAAGTATTTTCCCAAGTGTTCAAACCTCTTAAAAGTCCTTTAAACTTGAAAGTTGGCGTTCAAATGGAAATATGTGCACCAACTAAAACACTTAAGAATTCCAAGAAAATAAAACCACAAAGACAAAACTTAAAATCCTAAGATAATCAAGAAAAGCTTTAAGTAAGAAAGGGTACACTCAAGAGAGATATTGAGACAATACTTTTAAAAGACTAAAAAAGAAAAACAAGAATAAAATTCAAGAAAATACTTTAAATATGTAATTAAAATTTTTTTAGGAAAGAACATACACCACAAAGATTATGGTTCCTATAATATTGGGACTAATTTGACATACTTATCCATGCAACCATTAGTGATCAACAATTCTAGAATAAATTAGGATATAATTGCACAATTTTTTTTTTGTTTTAAAAAGGCCTAGAAACAATTTTTCAACTGCTGGTTTTTTTTTCCCCTTAAGTATTGATTCTAAACTTGACAAATAATAATGAAATTGTTTCTAGATGATCATAAATACTTAGATCCTATGTTTAGGTTCTACTATGAATTCAAGATGTATATACTAAGCTAAACATTTTATCAAACATGTTCAAGTATTGGAAACAATAAGAGAAAATGTCAAAGTAGCATGTGCATCGCAACTGAGGCCACCAAGGGCAATGAAAAAATTAACGATATTTAGAAAAATACAGTAGAGTCGCCACCATAATTTTTTAAGGAAAACTATGAAAAAACCTTTTAAAAAAATGGTCTCGAAACCATATTTGAGTTCGAGAGTCAATCATGTATAAGGAAGGTATCAGCACCCTACATCGTCTGTCTTAACACAGTTACCCTTAGTTGAATGTGCAAAATAAATATCATTTTAAAAATATTTGTTTCCCTTTAAATATAAAACAAACAAAGAAAAAGAGAAAAACAAAGAAAAACATTTTTGAAAATTTTTTATTTGGGTTTGACAAGAATAAACCTTGCTCTTACGTATTTTCTGGAATGAAAAATCAGAGTTACAGAGTTATTTCTAAAAAAAAGTTTATGTATTTGATTAAGGTTTTGAAAATTTTTGGTATTTTCTTAAAGAGATTTTTATTTTTTGTTTTTTAGGAAAAGGATTGTAAAGTGTAAGACAATGCGGGTGACCATACATAAACCTACATAATTGCGTACCTGTGTTTAAAAATATTTTTCAAAAAATGAAGCGCATGATGACATATGTGACCATATACGTGCTTCAAAAAGTAAGACATATGATAATGCATACAACCATATCCATGTCTCAATTTATTTTAGAAAAATAAAACACATAATGATGTGCGACCATACTCATTTCTAAAAATTTATTTCAAAAAATAAAACATATGATGACACATGAAGTCATATTCATACTTCGAAAAGTGAGACACATAACCATACCCATATCTTAAAACTTATTTAAAAAATATGATTCATGATGGCAGGTACTACCATACCCATCTCAAAGAACTTTCGAAAATATTAGACATAAGAGAACGTGAGTCGTGCATCCGTCTAAGCAACTCCTTAATACACAAAAACAATGTAAATTGTACAAAGTATTGAAGAACTAGTGCGGAAAATTAGAAGGAGCATTAAGATTTAGTTAGCTATGCGTGCTACCAGAACCTCTCAAGTGCTATCCTAAAGGACGGATGTCCAATTAATATAAATCAAACGAAAGTAAGGTCGAGTATCGCGAGGCCTACAAGTACTAAAACGAAGAAATAAAAAAAAAAAAAAAAAAAAAAAAAAAAAAAAAAAAACCCGAAAGTCGTGACTCCCATGCTTTCATACAAAGGCTTCTCGCATTAGACAAAAATCATCCAACAAAAAACATTAAAAGTCCAAATATTTACAACGAGAGACATAATAGGAACTGAAATATTTAAATATAAACAAAACATTAATAACCGGACACAAACTAGTGCCAATAACATATTGAAGTACATTGAAACCAAATTTTTATACCTAAGTTAGATAAATATGAGATTAAAAATATTTAAATTATTCAAAACTTAAATACTAATTAAAATTAAAACAATGAGTAATGCAAGATTAAAATTTTAAAGGTGAAAATTAATCTTTTATAATAGATTTTTAATTTTTAAAATAATTTAAGAAGTTTACTTCCCAAAAAAATACAAAAATGAGCATTTAAAATTAAAAAGGATGAAATTTCTAATTGTAAAATTTTTATCAAGTTATTCAATTAAAAATCATTGCAATAAAAAAATTAACCACGATATAAGAAACACAAATATTATTAAATCTACTCAAGTCAAAACATATACAACATTACAATTCACAAAACTTTAAATATATATATTATAAGAAAACAAAAGATAATGAATAAAAAATAAAATAAATAGAAACTAAGAAAAACACTTATAAAATATTTTTTTTTCTCTCAATTTAATCGCAAAAATCATTACTTCTTCAGTTATTTACTAAAAGCTTTCCAAATTAATTTCTAACCTTTGTTTTGACCAAAAAACCCAATCCACACAATAAAATGAGTTCAAAAGAGAAAGGGAGGGGCACACAAATTCATGGGCTGAAGTGAAGAACTCCAGTTAAGTTAAATAACTTCACATGACCGGCTTTGAAGACCTTACATCAAGATAGATAGAACAGAATGAAATTGGCATTCTGAAGTTTTAAGCGCAAAGGCATCTCATCCTTTTGTTTTGTTTCTGCTTTTGACAGACAAGTTTAACTGAAATATAGTTCCTAAAACCGTGATAACAGATCATATAAAATAATAGCCAATAATTTAATCCATGTGAAGCCAAAACTACAAAACTCGACGGGAGGAAGATTGATTCTGAATCAAAGGAGTATCCAACCCAAATCCTGGCACATTTGTGAGGATATGATGAAGAACCAGGAAGCAACAGCCCCCACTCCATGGAAAGGGGTCCTCCAATGCTGCTGTTACTAATAGGCTTTTGTTTTTGGAGCCTTCTTGGGTTGCCTTTTAGGGATGGAGTTCTTCATGCCAATGAAAAACAGCAGAGCCCCAAAAAAAGCCATATTCTGTAAAGAATTATATTATATTTAGAAAACAAGTGTAAAAATACATCAGGGAACATTGTATTGAAAAATAAATAATGAAAAAAATAAGTCACTGTTCTGACCTGTGTAAATTTGATGAAAAGTTGAGTAAATTCTTTGTCCTCACTCTCATAATTGTAAAAATCATAGACGATAGGAGTAGCAATAAGCTGATGCAGGAGCTACAGCCAAAATAAATAAATAAATAAAATTAAACTAGAAAAAGGAGCATGTAAGAAGAATATGAAATCCAATGTATTAGAGAAAATTTGTATACAAACCAAAAGAAGAGCTCCAAAAGAGCTGCCTAATATGAAAAGTACTCCTCCAAGGCCCTTCAGAGCAATAGCCCCAGCAATCAAAAGTTTCGTCTGTTCAAGACATTAACAACATCAGAGAAATTCTACCATACAAGGTAATACAATATGCATGCGAGGTATTTAGTACATTTTTTATCTATAAACTAAGAAGGTGCTATATATACACAATACAGCCCTAATACTCTTCTCAATAAGCCCTTATCACGATGCCCTTATTCTCTTTCTAATCAGGCACATTGCTTTTAGCTTAATGAAAGGTAGAGTCCTCGTCCAACATACATTGCAACTTCTATTTAATCAGGCACATTATCTTTTTCTATTAGATAGTATTAAATAAGTATTTATTATAATATTTAATTAACTCTCCAATTACTTTGAAATGAAGACTGAACAAACCTAATTTTCCAGAAAAGATACAAATGAGAGAGAGAAAGGGGTGACTAACATCAATCTCTGAAAGTTGAAAGCCAACTTGAGAATGCACATGATGTGTAAATGCATCAAACTTTGGTCTGAGGGCTTTCGCTGCAGGCCCACCATCAACTCCAAATTCATTAAATCTATAGCAAAGAACACGACAAATTAAAAAAAAATTTTACTTCACTCACCTTCAGCAACAAAAAGAGGGGATGAACCATATATGCTTGCATTAAAAGAGAACGGTCCAGAATAATTAGCAGATGAGTGCTTACACATTTAAATACCGAATTGAAAGAACTTAATTATTAGCACTACTAACGCAACAAGGAAAGTAAGCACAAGCAACCAACCCCATCAAGTCCTCCAACCTCACAATGAATAATTTCTAAATGAAGCACAATTATATATATATATATATATATATATATATATATATATATATATATATATATATATAATGAAGTCACAAACAACCATCCAAAGTAACCCAATTCAGTAAGAATGAAAACATGATAAAGTCAACGCAGAATTGCACGTACAGAAAATATGGAAACTAATAAAAATAACGTCAAATATACTATTTTCCACCGTAAAAATTAATCCAGAAATACAAATCTGCAGACTAGACAAGAACTTATGGTTAATTTTACACTTAACAATATTAAAAATGATAGAATCGAGCTTCTCGCATTTCTAACAAATCTGAGCGTAACTTATTCACATGATCACTCAAAGTCAAAACAAGAATAAAATCTAACACAATAACGTAGTTAAGAAGTCTCAGACGATTAACATAAGAAACTAAACGCAGATCTACGCGGTTATTTTACTCAGAGAAACAGTTCCAAACCTTAAAGTTACGGATCCAACTACCGCAGCAAGTAAATAACCGAATCTACAAAAGAAACTTACGGAGAATCCAGAAACTTCTACTAGTTCATTTGTTTGAATTAAAATTACACAAACAACATTTTATTCCACAAATCAACAGAGGGAAAATATAAGGGAAAGGAAAAAGTACTGACTCTTGGTAAGCAGAGAGTATAAAGACCGAAGCAAAGAGCACTCTTCCGAGGAATGAAGCGAAAGCCATTGTGTTGATTTGTTTCTCTTCTTCCGAAGCAGAGAAGAGCAAATCTAGGGCGCTGTGTTTATTTCTCCTACTTTTCCTAGGACATGAAAAGAAACATAGAAAATGAAATTATTTGAAATATTAAGAGCAAGAAAATAAGGGTAATACGGTCCATTCGTCCACTCCAAAATGTGGACTTTGGACCCAATTGGTCCTCTTGTTGGGCCAAGTTTATCGTCTTGAAGGTTGTTGCTTCATTTACAGCATATTTTCTTCCTGCTACTCTATATTTAACAAAAATGACAATATAGTTTCTTATGTATATGTTTTTCAGAAAGTTCATCCTGAGTTCTCGATTACTTTTTTAGAATAAATTTTTTATATTATATTTTATAAAAATATATATCAGAAAATTGATTCCAAAATATTTTCAAACAAAATTTAGAATATATTTCTAAAAATAAAATCTAAAAATGAATTTCGGATTATGTTTTTCATAATACATTTTCATATGTATATTTTAGAATTTATTTTCATTATTTTATGAAAATATATTCTGAATTTAACAATCTAGAATACATTCCTAAAAATACAATTTTAAAACTCATTTTAATTAATCTAATCGAAACTTATTTTTGAATTGTGTTTTTCATAAATATATTATAAATTCAATAATCCATGAATGTAAATCCAATGTGTTTATTCGGAGCATAAATCATAAAAAAAATTCTATCCATAAAAATTATATTTGAATGAAGGTGTATGAGATAAAGCAAAAGAGGTGTAAGTGTTGCTACAGAGATGTGGCTCGGAAGAAGAAAACTGACTAAGAACATCTTTTATATTTTACATATTATAGGGGTGTAGAAAGAAACCGCCCAATTGAATTTTTTTAAATAGGCAAATTGATATTATATATATATATATATATATATATATATATATATATATATATATATATATATATATATATATATATATATATATATATATATGTGTGTGTGTGTGTGTGTGTTAATTAAATAAAAGTTGGTGAAGAAAAATTGTTGAAATTTTTTTGTAAAATTTTATTTCACATTTAAAAGTATTTATAGGATTTAAAAGAAGATTGGTAAAACGATTGAAACAAGAAAGATTTATGAATTTGAGATAGAGATTATATTTTTATGGAATCTAATGGAAATTATTTATTAAAATGTATTTGAAAGAACTTTTTATGGTAAAATTTTAACTGAATGATAAGATGTTTAAAAAATATTTTTAATTACTTCATTGAGTAAGTTAAAAAAATTGCAAATGAAAAAAAATATGTATTTATCAAAATTGGATCAAAATTAATTATAATTTAGTTCAGTATAATAAATTTATATTTTATGTTTTTTATGTAGAAAATATAACATATAAGTCTTATTGAATATAGTATTAGGAAACATACACATTTCATCGAGGAGTTTTAACTTTTGACTTGACAACAACAACAAAGAAGAAGTTTCTTCTTCTACAAATAAAATTGTGAGTTAATTATGTTTACACGACCTATTAACTCCACACAAACACAATTAGAAACTCGTTGATATGAATAATACAATAGATTCTAATAAAAAACATAGATTTCCTGGAGTCCCCGAAGATTGAGGGAACATCAAACCAGGAGTCAAAACTTGATACAACATCCAGGAATCTTGGATAGATTCCTAAATAGGCAAAGATCTACTAATGTCGACGTTTGGAAGACTTAGTAGATATACAACAAAATACTCGAGATAGGATCAAATACAAGGATAGATTCCTTGAATCCTAGGCAGTTATACAATATCGGATGGTTAAGTTCGGAAAGGACTACCCTTTACCGATATAGAAGAATAGAAGATTTTCATCTTCCGGACAACACTTATGAGATAATTCCTCTCGATATCTCAACAAACTGGTAGGCAACTACTAGGCCAACAAGGAAGATATGTCCATATGGGATTGATTACCATTGGAGTTAGATCCTTGGCTAGGGATATGATTGGAGCTAGAGCTTTGATAGTTTTACATGACTCTAGATTCCAAAATAATGATTCACAAAGTGTGATAGGTATTTTAGAGGTAGATTTAAATCAACCTTTTTCATTGATATACCTAGCACCAAACTTTACAATTACACTTCCAGATTTTGTTAACCACATAAGTCTAGAAGTACAAACAGTAGGATTTGGACCCAATTGGGTGGGCGAAAATCTACACTTAGATATCACCTTTATTGGAAGAATTAGTAATCATATTTCTTCCATGTATAGGATTGATACAAGACCATTAGAGGAAGCTATTAGCTCTCATGGTACACAATTTTTGCCAGCTCAAGCCTTCACAAGGAGAAATGAAGGACATTTATGGCAAACACACTTACCTAGGGAAGAAGATACTCCCGTCACTGCCCCTTCATCTGCTATTTTGCATAACAGATCTAGAGGACTCAGTCTAAGTTTCACAGACTATAGAAATATTCCACGACTAGACCTAGAACAAGATAGGCCAGTGGAAAATAGGCATAGCACTTATGCTAATCCTGACAATGAAAATTTAGAGAGGAGGAGGGGTACAGAGAAAGCAGGAAAACCCTGTAAGGGGAAAACACTGCTCAGATACCAGAGGGAAGATAGAACAGAGAAAACCGGGAATGAACCCAGAATAAACTGCCCTGAGACCCGAAAGGGGGATGGAAAGGAGGAAAGTAAAGAGACTGGAAAACAAATAAATTAAAACATGTTATAACTCTTTATCTCTTCTGTAGGTCAACGTGGCTACTTAGCTCACAGAGAACCAAAAACCGGACTAGCTAAAATGAAGACTGTCCGAGATAAAGTCGGTTATAGCAAGAAAAAGTGTTCACCATAAGATTATGAGATGACTGAATCTGGCATAGCCGATTAGACATCTCTTCATAAGCTTATATGAACAAAATTAAATGCAGAAAATTAAAGACAGGAAAAATAAACACACAAGTCCATGATAAGATTATGAGATGACTGAATCTGGCATAGCCGGTTAGAATCTCCTCATAAGCTTATATGAACATAAATAAAGCTGTACAAAAATTATTTAAGCCTTTAAATGATTTATCGCATCTTTTAATAAATAAAGCTTAAGGCATCCGAGGACGCCCTTATAAGAAAACTACTCCATAAGAGGGAGCAGAGAACACTTACTTGGGGGGAGGAGAAGGAGAAGGAGAGGGGAGATGCTGAATAACTTCTCTTATTGATAGTAAGAAATTTACATAAGAAGTAGAGAGAAGGAGGAGAGGAGAGAGTAAGGAGAAAGCCTAGAATGCTTCTTCTTCTGCCCAGCATAAGGGACTTATGAAGCATTATATAGAAAATGAAAAATATTAAACTAATGAATAGTAATTTACATGGGGGACCCACTTTATGACTTATGGGTCACAAAACTTAACAAAGAAGTAAAATAAAAACCTACAAAGGAAAATTTCCTCACTAACAACAAAAATAGTAACGTCACTAAAAGACAAAAAAGTGACATTCATTCAATTTTTTTTTTTTTTTACATTTTATCAAAAGACTGATTCAATCTTACCATCATTAACATGCAAGGCTTAATGGGCCTAACAACATGTAACGGAAGAGGAATCATGACAAGGTAGCAAGATATCATTATCTGCCATTAACCTTTGTCGTCTTTTGATACAGCTGTTTATGACGTAAGGGCTTACGTCATGCGAAGCTCCTCGAAACCTTCAAGGGCAAACTAGTCTTTGTAGGGCTAATGATGTGAGAGATTATGCCATTAGGAGTTCCTCAAAATCTTCAAGGGTAAAATTGTCTTTATCGTAAAGACTCATTGGTTGTGGGGAGGTGGGATTTGTACAGCTCCGCCATTTGAAATCCTAAGAATGTCTTCTCGGAAACTGACACGTAAGACATATCTTCAAGTCCTTCTTCAACCATCTGGTCAATGAAGTTTAATTCCTCATCATCGTAGGGAAATGAAGCTCCGGGGTTCCTTGTCCATGGATTCCGGTTTCTTCATAAATTTCTTTGAGAATCCTTTCTCTTTTGAAGTGTTCTACCGTAATGGGACCGGCTTCAATTGGGAAAGGATGAAACTTGTTTCCCATAAGTTGTTTCCAATAGAGCTTGGTATCAGCAGTTTCTTTGAGAAGAATAAAATCTGAAATATCCTTTTTAGAGAAATTCCAATTAGATCCTTCTACATAAGCTTTCCAAAGCTGATATTGGTAAAACTTATCTTTGTTTAGAGTAAGTCCCTGAAAAGGATCTTGCTCTATTGAGGTATGCATCTCAAGATTTACCTCAGTGTACAACTTAACAACATGTTTTGCCATGCTGTCAAAGGAATTAGGACTTCTAGGGGAAGAAGTAATTTTTAAGAGCACACTCATCATATGCTCGGCTTGTATTTCATTTACCACAGAGTTTATTTCTGGGGTCAATGAATGAAATCTTTCTGTAGGAGGGATGGTAATATCTTGGAGACATCCGGCTTCTAACAGAAGTTGAGGGCTTATCAGAAGCTCTCGGTATAGTTGGGTTTTGAAGGTAGACAAATCAATTTGTGCCCTTCGGATGACAAACTTTAACTGACATGTACATTTTGTGGATACTGTTTTACAGTATTCCGAGGATCCTAAACAAGGGTTCCTAGTGTTAAAGTAGGTCTGTGTTTTGACAGTAAGCCCATGGGGATTTTGGGCTTCAGTGTGAACTTCAAACAGAAATTCTTGTATTATACCAAACTTGGCTAAAAAGATGTTTGGGTTAACCTGGGTAGGAAGACAACAGGCTCCTGCATAGGTTAGTGTTTGGGCCTTTGGTTCAAGCAAAAGGGCCGTTTTTATTTTTTCTTCATTTATGGTTTCCAATTTCAAAGCCATCTGGGCTTCTTCCTTGGAATAAAAACCTTTGTAATTAGACCAAAATTGGTCTTGTTTGGCCTCAGAGAGGTCTTTGTATGAAGTATAAACTCCTTTGTTTGGTCCCGTAACTAGGGCATAATGT